ATGCAGAGGGGGGTGGGGGGGGGGGGGGGGGGGGGAGCAGCAGAGCAGAGGTGTGAGTTCACTTCCATTCATAGGAACCTTAAATCACAAGCACAAACCGTCAGTGAGTCTGTGCAGTTTTGTCAGTAATTTACGATGACCCTGATGATTCCCTGATGCCAGAATAATAATTGTCTAAGTGCTCGCCGCAAGAAGGATTAAGAGGGATTATTCGAAGCACCTTGGACCTGTAGATGACCTCATTTGTTGGCCGACGCAGATTTGTGATAAGATAAAAACGACGAATCAGACGCTCTCTATCAGACAGCCAAACAGATGATTTCAAAAAGAGGTTCTTGTTTAACTTTGATCACTAAAACTACACGATGACCAACACCGGACGCAACGATACTTATATCCTAAGGATGAATAAAAAGCCTACTTTACCGTCCTTAAAACACACTTAAAGACAATGATTTGTGCTGTAGGAGAACTCCTGTGTCACAGATTAACGTCGTTGTTCCTTAAACCATATATATTTATGTCTTTAATGGCTCAGACAGATGAACGTGACATTCAAATCTGTGCTCCCGTTCACAGCTTCGTCTTCTCTTATCGTGTCTTAACATCTCTGAGCGGTTTGTGGGCACTGCTGAATGGATAAAGAGCTGGACCTTTTACCCAGAAGCCTCAGGTTTTGAATTACTCATTCTCCCTGGGCAAGACACTTAAGCTCAAGATGCCCCACTGCTGATCCCAACCCTGGAGAAAGGGGTGAGTATCAGAAAGAGCATCTGGTGCAACAGCAGGAAGTATCACCAGAAAGAGCATCTGGTGCAACAGCAGGTCCGACAAATGCCATTCAGTTTTATCGAAGCTGGATCTTTCAAAACAGGTCCTACACCTAAAAAAAAAAAGATTTCACATAATAATACAAGCTTCTAATTAGTTGTGTAGATATTATTAGACACCGGTTAGTACTAACAGTTTGTTTCAGTAAAGGTATCCCGTCAGAAAAGGCTCCGACTCCAGCACGTGCTAGCGATGATAAATGACAGGAAATGTGTTAGACACGCTTCCTTGTATTTTATCCTTCACCTTCCAAACATTTGAGGAATGTGGAAGCAGTATTTAATACTCCGCTGTCGTCTACGTGACTTCACTTACATAAAGGGCTGATCCAAATAGTTGCGGAGGCAGCTCTTTCCACAGCACTGTCATGGTTTTGTGCTTAAGTGGAAGGGAATTTAAATCATATTTATTGGGCTGGAATTCGTGCCATCGGGTGATTTGTAAAGTCTCGGGATGATGATCTCCCACAGAAAGGTTTTTGTCTGCGAATTGAACACACGGAGACCAACATGTTGGATGTTTTTCCTGTGGCCTCTAAAATCACCTAATGCTCATTAAAGAAAATGGTCTTGTTTGTAATTAAAACTGAAACCAAAGCCAAGTCTTTCAGCCGTGTTTTTATCCGCTTGACCCTGGTTCCCATTTGCTCTGGGCTTAATGTGGTGCATGGCTGAGTGTTTGGCAACTGCGTAGCTCCTTAAGTACAAACAGACTACAATTTGGCTGCGGCCAAATCATAAGATTGTCCTACTTTTGTTTAAATGACTAAATGCCTTTGGTTTAACTCTGGCTTTTACTAGAACAGATCTCGTGGGTGATTTCATAAGAACTTTTCCATGAGGACACAGTCACCATTTAATGCTGCTTGGATTTAAAGACCTCTACACTTTGACATATAGTGCTGCAGACACAGAAAAATGCACATTTTAACCAATTACTATGACACTGAATGGATATGGAATGGATCAGAAGGTGTGAGCCATGTGAATCTTCAGCGGATGACGCTGAAGACCTGCTGCCAAATCGTGACCAAGTCCAGAGGAATGCGGTGCAGCATTGCTTGCATTTCTGTTGCCTGACCTCTTTCTCAGACTGTGGAAAACAGGGAGCTCACCGACTTCCTCCCATGCGTCTTTTGCGCTTTTGCCTTTTTTTATGAGGCAGCACAGGGAAAACAAACCCGCACCAGTAAATTACCTGAAGGCCGTAAAAGTTGACAGATGTGGAAAAGAAATGGACTGAAAAGCGACCCAGTGACGTCTTTTGGGTGTTTTCTTTTCGGATTGTCTAAACTACCACGTTAATGTGGCCTTTGTTTATGCTCTGTCAACTGTGTGTGCAGGAAGGAATGAGTTCATTGTATCTGACCTTTATTTCATCTCCATAGAAGTGGGTCATGGTTGAGTCAGCCACCACCAGGGTCTCTATGAACCGTGGCGCGGAAACAAAGCGTCTCCTTCGGGGTTGTCCTCGTGCGTCACTGTCGCTGTGCGTAAAAGTTTCCCCGTCTCCCTTCTCCGCTCCGCGCTCCTCCGCCGTTCGATTGAACAGGACCGAAACGCCGTGACCTTTGGCGACAGTCCTCCTTTTTATCACATGCAGATGCTCGGTATTGTCTGGCCCCGAACTGGCGCCGTGTTTGGGCTCAATCAAATAGTCGTTCCCCTTGGTGATGAAAGCACCGGAGATGCCGGAGCACAGACTGACAGCCACGACCGAGTTACGGTCATAGTCCACGGTCCCGGAGTAAAAGCAGCTCCTGAGTTGTCCTTCACTGTCCTCTGTACGGCTCGGGGACATCTGGAGCTCTGGCTCCGGAGCGTCGTTGTCACCTGAGGCGCTGCGTAAAGCACCAGCATCTCTGGAGCTGAGTCGCTGGATGGAGAAGGACGGAGCGATGAAGCTGGTGTCAGGCACCAGATTCAGAGTCATGTCCTTGCCAAATGCGTGGATAACGAATCTCTGCTCTTCCCCGCTCCGTTTCCAGAACCGACCGTTGGTTCTTGAGTTTATCCGAACAGGTACAACATCCTCTGATTCAAATGAGGAGGACAGAGCCGCGTTCATTACGCACATGGATAAAAAGACCAAACGCACAGTGGAGCGCATCTTCTGCAGTAGGAATGAGTGGCACGTTCCAAAAAAAAGTAAACAAATAACTGATGACAATGTATGTCCTTTATTTCAGTAATGGATGCGCCTTCTGGAAAGGTTTTCTTCCTACACTCTGAGCTGCCTTCAAATTCAATCAGATTCCTCAGTGCAGTGGGGCAGACTCGGTTACAGTAAGTCTGCTGTTTGATTTAAGACTGTCTGGGTTGTTGATTTTTTTTTTCTAATTCCCCAAAGCAGACTGAGTCTTGTTGTACCGCTCAGCAGCTCGGCTGCTGTCTGGACTCAACGCTGGTATTTATACTTTCAGCTCTTCCTTCGACGTGTGGGGGGGTATTTTTGATATCCTGGAAAATCTCCTCCCACTCGCACTTCAGCAGAAACTCTCAGACGAAATGGATCCAATGAGAACAGGTCGACACTCCCCCCAACGACCGCGCTCCTATTATTAACTCAGCCGCGGCTGGACAGCAATACTATGCATAGCTGGAAGTCCGCTACTCCAGTTATTTCAGAGTGTGTGAGTGGCACACGTGCACGCGCGCGCGCGCACACACGAACACACAGGAGGCATGAGAGAGAGAGAGAGAGAGAGGGCGCTCTGCTATATCCATCAACAAAAGCAAGGACCACCGGTTGAAAGATAAAGGCGCAGTTCGCGTTTTCTCTCTCTTAAAATTACATTTATGCAAGAATAAAAATACATTTTTTAAATTTAAAAAACATTTTGTGTAGCAACAATTTAAACATTTTTAAAACAATTAAAAAAACTTCAAATGTTTAAAAATAAAAAATATGAAAATAGATGCTTTTTAATTTTGTATGTTGTAAATATATGTTTTTACAGCAGAGGGACGTGTGGGCAGTATGTCAAAGGGAGTCTGAACGGTCTTGGGGTCACAGAAGCTTCTGCTGCATCACCACACTGAGCTCATGTTCTCACAGACACAACGCAAATGACTTCACTGTGAAACTGTGCCAAAAGCAGAAGTATCAAGTATGCAAGTGTTGCAAGGTTGGAAACAGGCCTTATAGCGCAGTTACATACAACAACCGACAGATGGAGTAAGAGTACAACAAGCGCGCAGATGCGCTGACGCGTCAGAAGACTCGAGTTACCAACGGGTGTCGCTGTCTGGCCATATTTGAACCAAGGCTTTGCCCTGTTCACTGTGAGGATGTGAAGTGTGTGTGTGTTTTTTTTTGTCAGTGATAAAACTCTTCTTAATTTAAGGAGTTTGAATATTGGTGAAAATGTTGCACAAATGTTTGAATGTGCATGTGATGTTTAGAAATGTACTTGTTCTGTTCACGTTAAACATTATGTTTGATTAGGCAGTTAAATACAAAAAAAAATCAAAGTCAAAGCAAAACATTGAAAAGTGTGTGAGTATAGTTTGTAACCTTTTAGGACGGGGTGTCAAACACGTCTTGGTTCGGGGGCCACACGCGGCCCAATTATATGTGGAGTGGGCTGTAACAGTACGATCATAACATAATTACCATAAATAACAATCACTACTTGTTTTCCTGCAAATAAGTTCAGGTGTGTTAGAAAATATTCATATTTAATGAATCTGCAAATAAGTTCAGGTGTGAAAATATTCATATTTAATGAAATATAATCTGACAAAACATCACGAACATGAAGTGCTTGTGAATTTTCTTTCCACTTGAAAAATGAATCAGGCCGGCCGAATTGACCTCCCCTAGCGGACCGGTTTTGGCCCGCGAGCCGTATGTTTGACACCCCTGTTTTAGGACCTTCATCGGGTATAAACATTATACCACCTTAACAGGGCCAGATGAATGGCTTTTTATGTTGCTGACCATCATTTCGGATGAGGGGAAAGTGTGAAAACGGAGGTAAGATAAGGTGGAAGAGTCAAAGCTCAGGTTGGAAAGTTCATGGTTTGGCTTTTCACTGCTGAGCCTTAACAGTGGAGAGAGAGAGGGGAGAGAGAGAGAGAGAGAGAGAGAGTGTGTGTGTGTGTGTTGAAAACTGCAGCCTGTGCCTCGCAGTGACTCATGGACTCTGGTGGTGGGAGGGGAATGATGCTCCGGCTCCTATCAAACATCTTGTACAGCAACAATAATATTTGGGGAGTTAAGTGGCTGCCGTCCGCAGCACAGACTCAGACGCAGCTCCAGCGAGGTCGACCTTTCTCTTCAGCAGTTGCCTAATATCGAATATTGCCTTTTATGCTGGACTTTATATTGCAAACTCTTAGAGAAGTTGCAGCCCAGACTTTGCAGTCCAGTCCAGTCCAGTGCAGGATGGAGAAGAGGCTGAGGCGGCAGCGCGGCTGTTCTGGTTTCTGAGGGCGCACCAACAGTTCTCTCCACAATTACGCACAGCTTTTGCAACTGCTGGCGAATTCACCGCAGCCGAATATCTGCGCGGATTTGTCTGACTAGCAGCAAACATGGCAACCACCATTCGTTCCATTGTCATTTTTGTGAAATTCTGTCTTTATTTCAGACAAACATTTTCTATGGAGGTAGACTTCTTCACACCAGTTCGCGTGGATCCAGAGAAGAATGAAATGCATTTTCCATTCACTGAGGGACAGACTGTTTTTAGGCTCAGTGCGTTTAAGCAGGACTTTTACCTTCGACTCAAACCGGATTCTAGTTTTCTTGCAGCGGGTATTTTGGCCCCTGAGAGTGGCTCCTTAGAGCCCAACACCTCTGTGGTGGCTGACCTACGGGACTGCTTCTACTCGGGTGATGTCAACGCGGATCCAGAGTCCTTTGCCGCGGTCAGTCTGTGCAAAGGTCTGAGCGGAGGATTCTCTTACAAGGATGTGGAGTATTTTATCAGCAGGTCTGAAGACGCAGCTGCAGAGTCTGGATTTAAAAACTACTTGGACTGGACGCACGTCATGCGCCGTCGGAGACGCGCCGTGCAGCCAGACGGCAACTTTACCAGCAGGTGCGCAGTTACACCTGATCCCAATTTCACACCTTCCCTTGAAAAATACAAACACATGGGTGACGTGGGTGCGGAGGGCTTCGATGAAACTGTGCTGAAAAGCCTGGGCAGGTCGAAACGCTTCGCCTCGGTTGCCAGGTTCGTGGAGGCGCTGGTGGTGGCGGATGAATCCATGGCCAAATTTCACGGAGATGACCTGAAGCACTACCTCCTGACCCTGATGTCTGTAGCAGCCCGGCTTTACAAACACCCCAGCATTTTCAACCCTATTAACATAGTCGTGGTGGGCTTCATGGTGATAAATGACGTCAACAAGGGACCGAAGATTTCCTCCAACGCAGCGCTGAGTCTGCGCAACTTCTGCTCCTGGCAGAAGAAGTTAAACAAACACAATGACAAGCACCCCGAGTACTGGGATACTGCAATACTCTTCACCAAACAGGTAGGCATGAAGGGGGTGGGGGTGTGAAAACTGCAGCCTGAATACTGTGAAACTCTTCTTTGCAAGACAGAGACAGACTGCACTCTTGCACGTGTGCATGGTATGCAGATGACACAAAAGGTCAAAGGGCACAGACACATAAATTGCATCCAATCCTCAACATGTAGAGACAGCTATCATGACAGAGAGTAATAATTTTTGTCGTAAATTACAAAGCAAAGCACTTTGTTCTCCAAACACACAAATTTATACTCTTTAAAAAAAAAAACTTAAGTAATAACACCGTAAAAAATCCCCGTTGTGATTGTGAGTGCAGTACTTTGTTTGCACTAATGTCTTTTGTTGCAGGTTTTTGCATCTGTTTCTCTTTTGTAGATGACATAACAACAAATACTCCCTCGAACTACAGTCCTGACTACACCCCTCACCCTCCACAACACGACACGACACAACACAACACGTGCCAAGTGTACGTCCAGTCTACCAGGCAACTGTGAAACATGTCCTTTTACTGCACAGCTGTGCCATAGTCTTATTTATTTCCATGCAAGTTTCCTCAGCTGGAAAAGATCCGCCGAGCCAGACCTTCACACGAGAGCTACGCTGCGTCCTTCGCAGGAAACTAGACCGTGCCTCATTATCTGTATAAGCACCGTCATAAAGTTTAGACAATTTCACAACCTCAGTTGCCACCCAGTTGTGAACAGCAGTGAAGATACACATTTGGACAGAACAACCAACATACAGGGAGTAAAAAAAAAAAAGAAGAAAAAAAGAGTCAATTTTGACCTTGATCTTTGTCCTTTGGTCTCACACATGGAAAGCCTTGTGCTCCGCGTGAACATTAGTGCCAGATTTCAAACAATTCCCTGAAGAACTCCTTGAAATATGAGGTTCTCAGAGTTGGTTACTGGTGGAATGAAACGATGCCTCGGGCTAAAGTTCTCACCGATGCGAGACTTCCTGCAACGCAGTAAGATTCCAAATCACTCTCCTTATAGGCGATGCTAATTGACATGTCATTATGGATTCACCTTAATCATAAGTGTCAACGAACCCCATGTGGACAGCAGAAGTTTGGCTAGCCACTGAGGAGAAAATCATTTTCTTTTCAACACCTTCTCACTGTTTCCCTCTCACTTGTGTGTTTGTTGTTGTCTGGTAGTAATTAGTTCCAGGTTAATCGAAAACAGAAACTCTCTTCTCATCCAAACTATTTACATTGAAGACAGTGATGTCTTCGAACGAAGGCCTTAACGTTGGCCGGCTGACAGATATTCGCTGCTCCATCCAGCGTTGTTGTTATCTAGGTGAACAATAATCAAGGCCGCGTCTGGAAAGCCTCACGTCTTCTTGACAGAAAGTCCAGCACGTTGTATTTAATGATAAGTTCCAAGCCATCAGTGGTGTTAGCCAGCGAGAGCACGGAGTACCGGGATCTGAGATCAGGGTGATGTAATTAATGTTGCAAGACACATGACATCACCTTTTCTCTCTTCTTCATCCTTTCTCCAAACAGCAGCATCACTTTCAGATCAGATGGTGTAGATTTGGTGTAGGTTTGACGCCAGGTGTCCTCCTAATGCAGCACCTCCCACCGGGACTATGTGGGGAGGATCAGCACAGTCATACTGTTAACTGGCGTAAGCAGAGGCCCTGATGCATCACCGTCTCCTTACACACAGACAGGTGGAGAATATGAACAGATTTTTCACAAAGGCAATAAAGCTGCAGCTGCAAGCAAAGATGTTGGCCAACGTATCGAATTCCTGCTCAAGTTTTTCCTGTCAGTTTAAATGTACAGGATATTCCTTTCACAATTATTTATTACTCGTTCACTGCAGAAGGAAACTGCAGGAGAATTAACAAATTCACTGTAAAGGTATGGAAAAAGAAGTGCATACACTGAAACGACTAAATATCACATAAAAAAAGTCATCATTCATTTACCTCAGCGGTTCTCGTACAAATCTTAATTTACATAAAGACATTTTTCAACGAGTCAGAGGGGGATTTACGGGGGCCAAGTTTTGGTTGATTTTTCAATTGGTCCATTTTTGAGCCCATTTTCACCTGTGGACAAAACCACAAGAAAAACACAGTGAAGTAAAGAAAAAAGGCCTTCTGTGCTGTGTTTAAATGTCCTTAACATTTAAGCACCACTGATTTAACCTTTTCTTGTTACATATTCTTTATGGTATAATGTTGAAACACTTGAACTAAGGTAAATACTAGTAATTGAAATTGTAACAAATTATAGTTTAACATATTGTTGGGGCCATACTGTGAGAGAGTGGTCAGTGGTCTTGCCTTACACAAAGAGAGAAACTGTTTGATCCCTGTGGTCTTTGTTCATGGAGTTTTATGTTCCCTCCACGTGTGGGAGGTTTCATCTGGCTTCATCTTGAGTCATGGTCGTTTGTCTCTATATGTGGCCCACAGTGAATGATTGGTGAACTTGTGCGGTAGCCCACCCTCACCCACTGACTCACCCACTGACTGGTAGGATCTTCCATCTTGAAAATGATTAATCAGTAAAGTTGACGCCAAAATCCACAAGAATTGTCTTCAGTTATAGACTTCTACAAAAAAAGACCCTCCAAGTTTTGGGTATTTGTATGTATATTGTTTTTTTTATGGAAAACCATTGTCAAAATAAAAAAACCCAGGGACCACCGGTGTTATTCCAGTTCTGCATGGGGGGGCAGCCACAAATGTCCAAACAATCATTAACTTTGTGGTTGCAGGGCAATGTCAAGGGTTGACCAAAGTCATTAGGGATTAAACATGTGGGAGCCATGAATGGAGACCACGTATCGAATTCTCTGGTACACCATGTGATTAGCTTGGATGTTCCATTGTGGATCAAAGCGATGGACTGGTTAAAGATTAAAGGGAAAAGAGTCAGTGACTCGTACAGGCCGGGCTGCAGTGGAGTGGGTATGGATTGACTTCAGCCCATGGGCTGCAGGTGGGACTCATCTAGTCCTCCCAAAATATCTTCTTACTCCTTACCCAAACACCAAGAGGCGGTCTGTAATGGGCCATCTCCCTGAGCGTCTGCCTCTATATATTTTAGGAACAGAGCAGTAATAAGCAAACCCCAGTCCCATGTGCTTCGTATTAGTGCCGTTTACGCTCTTTTCACTCCGTACCCCACAAATCTCGCTGGTGGACCAATGCGTCCGATCCTATCTGAAGTTGTAAACTTCCTCAAGAGAAGAAAAAAAAAGAGACTTCCTTCAATAACATTAGACTCTGTGTCACCAGGATCTTTGTGGGTCCACGACCTGCGACACCCTGGGGATGGCCGATGTTGGGACCATGTGTGACCCGAAGAGGAGCTGCTCCGTCATAGAGGATGATGGCCTGCCGTCCGCCTTCACAACAGCCCACGAACTTGGTGAGGAAGTCGGTCAATGTTGTCTCTTTAAGTGAAGAGCGGATTCTCTGACAGGAACAGGCATAGAGTAATATTAAAACAAAGACCAAACAGTTCCTGGCAGTGTGGAGGCTCCGCCCACCAATTTACAATCATCGAGAACAATGATTGGTAGATGTGACCCTTCACTTCAGCTCAGACTACATAGCTGTTATGGTGCGATTTTAAAAGAACAATTGTCGAATTTGACGGGCTATAGGTCGCTCCGGAGTATAAGTCGCACCAGTGCCCTCTAGCGGCTGTCCGTGTGAAAATAACAAACATGTACATTTTCAGTAGTACAGGAGGAGCAGATACTGGTACACAGGTTTAGAGTGCCCTCTAGAGGCTGTACATTTTCAGTGGTACAGGAGTAGCAGATACTGGTACACAGGGTTAGAGTGCCCTCTAGAGGCTGTCAGCGTGAAAACGATATAAGTTGCACCTGAGATAAAGTCACGAACCCAGTCAAAGGTTGAAAAAAAAAAAAAGCAACACACCTCGTCCGGAAAATTGGGTAATTATTGATTTGATTTTTGATGCTATTCCTGTCTGTTGACTAAAGAACTACAGTAACTACTACTGTAGTGTATCACAGTGTTGTGGTTGGTCCACTTGTTAATCCCTGAGTCATTTTTCACTTCATCACAACCCAAGCATATAAGTTTACACTCAGCCTTAAGTCGAGTAACACAAGAACTTAAAGAATAAATATACTTTACATCTGAAGCTATATTTAGACAATACTTTAAATACACAAAGCCCCGGCTGAGCCCAGAGTCTGTAGAAGATCTGGGGGTCAGGTTTATCCAGAGAGGCCTTGGACGCGGACAAATCACAGGCCAATTTGCGAGCGACAATCATAGGAAAACATCTGGATCACAGAAATTTGGAAAACCTAAACACGGGTCACCGGTTACCATGAGCACCAGTCAAACAACATCATTCACCCGCAGTTACAGAAACCCCCTAAGTATCTTATGTGAGTTTGGTTTGTGGAATAAAGTATTAGTAATAAATCCAAACTGGGCAAATGTTCAGTTTGGATTTGGACCCAGTAATAACAACAGAAATTAAAAAACAAAACATTGTTTAATTGAATTGAACCAAGAATGAAATGAGACCTGTGTTATTCCATCGACGTATTCATTACAAATAATCAGTTGCGCTACATCAGGTGAAGGCCTGTTGTCAGGTCATCACTGGACCACATACTGAGACACCTGTTGATGCTAACATATACATCCAGGGTCAATTAGGATTGCCCCATGTTGACGAACCAATAATCAGAGTACAGAGTAAAAACACGTGCACACAGTAGTGCACGGCACTTAGCACTAAGCTAAGTCGATGAATTTGAGGGAGGAGTTGCTCAAACAGATTAAGCTAAATCAGCAGCTCTACAATCCAGGCTCATTTCTATGCTGCTCAATTCCACCTGGAGCTTTATGGGTTTTCACAAAGTCACGTAGGAAAAAATAAAAGTCACATGTTTGTTATGTCACGTTTACAACTTTATGTGACCTAAAAACCCGATGACTCTTCGCATCGCACAATAACACAATCTCTTAAAATGGAACTGTCAATGTGGGGACATATACCCAACAGACACACATGTACTGTGTATATGCATATATATGATATATCTATGTGCTGTGTACATATATATAAACATATATAAAGATTATTTTAGTAACATACTTTACATATATATGCACACATATGTATAGTATAAGTTACTAAAACTATATTGTATTGTACTGTATATATTTATTGTGTATATATGTATATATATGTAAAAATACATTATAAAATGCAAACAATATATAAAGAATATTTTAGTAACATATTTGTGTGTATACATAAACACACATATATATACATATATGTATGGTATAAGCTACTAACATAATCTTTTGCTGATTTCTGCTAATCCCTTGACTTCCTTGCTGCCTTCAGGGTACAGTACTGTCAGTACCACGGTGCTGTGAGTCAGGTTTTACAGGATTAGTCTCTGTTTGCTCCACAAAGGATTTACAGCTGGGTCTGCCCCACAGTTCAGGAACCACTGACTTAGATCAGTCCAATCAACACAAGTCAATACGTGCAACTTAACCTTAACAGGTCTGTTAGACCGAAGCATAAACACACGGTCATCATGGAGAGCAGGCTACCCAGAGGGCTTTGCAGCTTTCACGATGATCACGTCAGCTGTAATTCTGTCCCTGACCACTGCAGGGGTTTTCAGACAGAGTTAGAATCTAAAGATCTGTGCATCTCGCAGTCTGAAGTTCAGACACGCGCACGCGTTCGACGAAACAGCCGAACGACGTAATTCTTTACTTTGGCAGTTGCAAATGGCAGGAGAGAGATAAGCTCTCGGAAACAAAATATGCGGTTACATAAACCAACAGCGCGTCCAGTTAGTTTGGCCTGCCTCGGAAACCACATTAAAATAAAAAATAAAAAAAGTTTAGCTTTTTAGGATTTTATTGCGCCTGGAGTGTTGGTGGAAACAGTGAAGTCATTAAAATCAAGCACCAGCTCACCAAAGTTATTAAAGGGAATACTTTACCTCTTTTATGTCAACTTTCCTGAAAGTCCTGTCTTTGTACTGTGCAAGTTAAGAGACTAGGCAGCGATTCTGAAAGGCTTTACTTTGGCTTTTAATCTCAGCGAATTCATTAAAAATCAGTTGAATACTTACATTTAAACATCTGGGTTTCTAACAAAAATTTCCATTTTCTTCAGTGTTTGTACATTAAATGTGCAGTTTGAATAGAGCATTTTGTGATACTTAAATAAATTACACCATTCTTTTTTAAAAATTGCACGCTGAGAATGGATCGTTTCATTTGCTTTTGTTTTGAAGGCTCATTAAAAAAAATTGCACGCTGTGAATGGATCATTTCATTTGCTTTTGTTTTGAAGGCTCAAAAAAAGTGGTAAAACAAATGGAGTCAGTCACGAACACAAACACTGGAAAGATGTTTCAGTGTAAAGTAAACTGTTAACATGGAGACAATGACTACAGTCATGCACAGCATCGCCATCTGTGCAGCAGAAAATCGTACGACGTACGTTCTCACAGGTGTTCTTGTCAGGGTCGGGCACTTACGTTACTGTAGAGCAGAAGAAGAAGAAGAAGAAGAAGAAGAAGAGCTCAGCTCTGCTAATGCCTCCTGCTCTCTCTGTTAATGTGGTTTAATGGGTACCATTTAACTGGAGTTTTACTCACAACCACCACCAGAGCCAATCCTGGTAAACCCCCAAGTGACAGGTTCTCTCATCTTCAATAATCAGTGCTTGATGACACTGTAAATTAAGCAGGACTCCTGAACCAAGTCCACATGTATGAGCACCTCCTGAGGCCCCAGGAGAGGTTCTGGTTTACTCTAAGTCTTGCATGTTAAATAATTACACAGTTTCCCCTCGGAGCAGGTCTGTTTCATGATTAAACAAGCAAATGATTTAACAAGAAACCACAGTTTATGATTGGTGTTCTTTTCCACTTGGAAAATACTGCATGTCCACATTTGGGAATAGAACAGTTTTCTTGAGAACCACATTCTCTGGCCAGCCCGAGATTTGGAGCATGGATGTGTGCCAGGCTGCATGTTCTCATGCATACATGCATTCCTGTCCATGATAATGGGGGTCACTAGAGATTAAGCCAGCCTTTGTGTAGCTTACACACACACACGTGTGAGGGTGTGTGATTTCTTCAACAGCAGCGTCACTGAATTCTTACGGCTCTCGTCTTAGGTCATGGTAAATGGAGCGACCGTCTGATTGCCTGCGTCTCTGTTCCCACCCAACCCTCTCTCCCCAGGCCACGTCTTCAACATGCCCCATGACAACGTGAAAGCGTGTGAGGAGGTATTTGGGAAACTTAAGGACAACCACATGATGTCTCCCACGCTGATTCAGATCGACAGAAGCAGACCCTGGTCTGTGTGCAGTGCGGCCATCATTACCGAGTTCCTGGACAGAGGTCACGGTGAGTAAACACTTCCTGTACGCGTCTTTGGACGTAGGTGGAGCCGTAATTCTGCCCAGACTTCATGCTGTCACCTAATATTACTGCCTCTGACGTGAATAAAGGCGAGCCGTGATTGTATTGTCACAGTTATACAGATCGTTTGAGAAGGAAGACCAAAGGCCAACATCATGTCATTTTCTTCTCCCATAAAACCTTTGAATTAAAAAACGAAAGCGTGCCATTGGTCCAGACAGACTCTCCAGTGTTCTCTGCGACGACTGCCTCAGTTACAGCTGTAACAAACACAGTCATATTTATTCAGATGAACACCGCAGTCATTACATGGCTGACGCTACCTGTTATTTTGACAAACAGACCGAGACCGTTGCCCTAACCGCAGATGACCTGACGGCAGCGAGGTTTTTTAGTCCAGACAACTTGATTAGAGGGTCGATCGGACTTGGAGTATTTCGCAGTTACAATTTCTGTATCTCCTGACTGATTTCTGTGATTTGACTTCATCAAAGTTCATGGGTTTCATTTGACTGTAGAACCTTTAAAGAATCTCAAGGGGAGCAACGGATCATTGGCAGATACAAATACAGAGAGCCGTCAAAATAGTTTTTAAAAATTCAAATCACTTTAAGTCAGAACAGAGTAAGTCAGAACGGTCATGCAAGTGGTCAGAGAATTCCTTTCTTCCTTCCAGAGAATTCCTTTCTTGAGATGCAACTTACTTCTAAGTTTCAGTCTCTAGTTCTAAAACAGACTCTCTTTAAAATGTCCTGCTAAATGTGGGGAAAAAACATCATTCATAAGTTCTGAAACAGAATGTCCTACTAAATGTGGGGAAAAAACATCATTCATCAGGTTTACATTTTTATTTCTTATCCTCACTTCTTTATTTACTAATCAAATTTCAATGCTAATACGTACACAACGTACACAACGTACAGTTGACCTAAAACAACCTCAACCACTAACGACGAAGTAATCGCACTCGATGATGGTGGCATGCTAATTATTGGAAAACATTTTCAAAGCGGATGTTTGTCAGAGTGCGTGGTTTGTGATCTGCTATCTCTGAATTCTGACCAATCGTATTTTGCAGCCACAGCGGTCTAGTGAGTCTTCTCAAGCCACCGCACATGTCTTGTCTTCCCATGATTGTTAGCAGCTGGTGATTTGGTGGAACAGTTTTTCGGTAGGCTACGACCCAAACTGGAATAATGAATTCCAAATCACATTCGATTTTAAACAAGGCCTACTACGTACAGCATAGCTCACGTGTGAGCTCAGACTGCAGCTCTTCTTATAGCTGAACATGGTTGAAAATGACAGGCCAACAGAGTTATGTCATCTTCTGGACACTTCTCCGTGTTCCTTGAGTCTCGGGCATTGTCGAACATCTGGGTACACTTTTGCGTATTTTCTGTGTTACATGCACAGACTACAGCAGAATGAATTTTATTGTAGTTAAAACTAAATATTATGTGAAGACAACAATATGAAGAGTCCAAAAATATGAACAACAGATGCTGAGGCTGTAACAAACCGCTGAAGTACATGTGATACTCAAGTGTAGAACAGTTATAGTTAACAAATTCGTAGGATTCTTTTCTGCATGATAGTTAACAAATTCGTAGGATTCTTTTTTTAATGTAATCTTACAATTACAAACAGTATTACAAATGGCTTTCCATTGTTTACCGTATGTCAATCGGTATTTATCAGCTACTCCAACCTGAGGGATAAGGTGGCGCGAGGTGTTTACGAAGAATTTCGGAGCAGTGACGCCAATTTATGTTTATGCTAGTGGGTGCTCGCTGTGTGTGGGTGCTCGGCAGACTTCTTGGTTGTGCTCCAACCCCGAAGCACCCGCGGAATCGGTGCATATGTTTCGGAGTAATATTTGTTACCTCCACTATAGCTGCCTTCGCTGTGTGACATCATCAGAAGATGGCAGCGTGTAATGCACAGCTTTGTCAAAGTCACTCACTGCACTGTACTGCAGTAATACTTCAATCTCCCTGCACATGTACTGCAGTAAAGTCGGTGCCATGGAAGGGTTTCTCTGCTGTTTTGAAAGGCTGCGGCCACTGACGGATGGAAATAAACTTGTACTGCAGGCACTCGTCTGAATCCACCTTCACAGTAATGACGGAGCAAAGAGAACCTGAATTATATGCCCTGTAATCTCTGTAAACAGATCCTGAGATCATGAAATGCCTAGAGTTTGTTGGCAAGCAGCGAGGGTTTAGGGATGGATCTTTTCTGGTTTCCATTTCAAGGTTGACAAATCACTTGCGAGCAGGCTGTAGACGCCTGGTTGGTGAGCTGGCTGCGTGGAGGGCAGCGGAGGTGGAACACATGGACTGAAATGCACCGTCTATATCTTTGTTAGAGTTTGGCCAAAAACCTGCTAGATTTAAAGGGTGGTGGGGGCCGAAGAGACTGTAAACATAATGTATAACAAATGTGAAATAGAAATGTCTGCCAAAAAAAAAGGCCAGCATCTACTCGGGATTCCCCCAAAATGTTGGTCATTACGCCCAGAGGCTGATCTAATGCCAGATGATAGCTGAGGTGTTTAGGTTTGAACATAAAAAGCAGATGCTCACCGTGGCTCAGTCCAAGCTTGGTTTAAAGGACCTCTGTTTTGTTTTGTGTAAAAAAAAAAGTTCATAGTGTGAATTGTTGACATGTATGTTGACACTGAAGGACTGGACTGACTGTGTGAAGGAAACACAATGCTTTCTCATATCACTGAAAAGATGTCAATCATTTTTTGAGTTTGTCCCCGGACCTTAAAGAAATCAGCATTTGAGTTTGTCCCCGGACCTTAAAGAACTATAGGTTATGGAGGCAGAATAAAAAAAAAGAAAGAAATAACGGCGCTATAGGAACTGTAAAATATTCTCGGTATTTTGGCAAGTACCAGTGGAACCAATGTAGTCATAGGAAAGAAAAATGACTTCATATAAAATCTGACTCCTCATTCTCACAGAGAGATTTTTATCGTCCAACTCTTCACTAAGTTTGCTTACAGTTGCTTGGTGACTGACCTTTTGACCCTCAGTGGACACACGGCAGTGCAAACAGTGGTCAAACGTACATACAGTGTCTGAACGGACCTTTGATAAATGCAGATATTTTATATTTGTTTCTGCTACCAAACGCTAACTCAGTCTCTGCTGACAGGCAGCGTTTCTGTTTTACAAATTAAAAACTGCTGCTCCGATGGGTGGGCTGCTGAATATCAGAAATGAAGTTGTTTGAAACGAAGACTGATCATTGAGTTCATGAGGGAAATGGTAACGATCAATTCAAATCAAAAGACATTTGAACACTTCCACGCTGTGATTCATTCAGGGCGTGTTCAACTTTTGTCTTCTCATTTTTATGTTCAGTTGAAAGTAGAAACCTGGCACACACGTGTGTTTTCATCATCAAGCGCACACATGTACGATGAAGGACACACGGATAATTTCAAAATCTGATTGGTCAGATTTATAAGCTCAAATAAAAATGATGTCAACTTCAGACTTGGTCGCCATCTACGGACTGTAGACTGTAGTCCGTTGCAGATAGTTACAGATATTTTTTTGGTCGATTTTTTACTAAATTTACTTAAGCTGAACAAATACTCTCTTTCATATATATATTATATATTATGGCTTAATAAATAATGAATATTCAACGTTGCTTATCACTAACACATACTTCAATAATTAAAATAATGCCTGGTGAAAAAAAAGTTTTAAGCAGAGACAATGACTGTATTGGAAATTATTTTCTGGAAAAATCTTCATATACAAGGAATTTAGTGGTTTTTGAACATTTCTAAGACTTCAATATTGGCTGTTCTGTCCCCCTGAAGACAACGAGGATCAGTCCAAATGTCAGTGGACTGCAGGCCGATCTGCTGCTCTTTGAACGTAATGCAAATTCCTCATGCGACTGTCTGATGTTGTAATGCCGTTCCTTCAAAAGATGACAAAGAACGCCCATCATCTGCCGTCTCTCTTGAGTTAAACAGTCACACCAAGAATCTTTAAGTGAACCAGACAGGACCAGTATGAACACACCCTACGTCACCAGGGTTTTGATATCCACATGAATAAATACAGCGTCCAGTGAGATTGATGATGACCCTGTTGGTTTGTTTGTGTAGGAGACTGTCTGTTGGACCAGCCTCAGAGACAGCTGTCTCTCCCTGACAGCCTGCCTGGCTCCACTTACAGTCTGCACCGTCAGTGTGAGCTGGCCTTCGGCCCCACCTCCAAACCTTGCCCCTACATGCAGCCGTGCTCCAAGCTGTGGTGCACGGGAAAAGCCCGGGGACAGTTGGTCTGCCAAACGCGACACTTCCCCTGGGCGGATGGCACCAGCTGTGGCAGCGGGAAGGTCTGCTACGAAGGAGCCTGCAGTGAGAAGAACGCCACCATGCACATCAAGGTGAGCTTTCAGAACGGCGCCTCCATGTGGAGAGAATGAGCACGACTGACACCTGGATGTCGTTGCAGGTGGATGGTCGCTGGGGGAAGTGGGGGGGTTTTGGGGACTGCTCTCGGACTTGTGGCGGTGGAGTTCAGCCGGCCAAAAGAGAGTGTAACAACCCCGTCCCCGAGAACGGAGGGAAATACTGCTACGGGCTCCGCATCAAATACCGCTCCTGTAACCTCAACCCGTGTCCTGACACAGGTAAAGTTGACGACGCTCAGACCAGGAGTGTCAAAGTCATTTTGGTTGAGGGTCCGCATATAATTCCATATAAAGCGGGCCAGACCAGTACAATCAAACATGTTAGCTTAAACGCTGGCTAAACTGATTTCTTTTCATTGTGTTCAACTGTCAGTCTGCTTTAACTTTGTTTCTTTAATCTTCAGGGAAAAGTTTCCGGGAAGAGCAGTGTGAGAAATTCAACGGCTTCAACTTAAACACCAACAGACTGAGTTCCTCTGTTGTTTGGGTTCCAAAATATTCGGCGATCTCTCCCAAGGACAAATGCAAGCTAATCTGTCGAGCTAACGGGACGGGCTATTTCTACGTCCTCGCTCCGAAGGTATTGATTATTATTATTATTATTATTATGGCCGGAAATGGTCTTATAATTTTCACAATATTTATCAAAAATATATCTAGGGTCATAACGGTTAAACCATTTACTAAAGTTGGAGTCGGGCCTTCAAAGTGACAGCTGTGCTGTACAAGTTCAGCTACAACCTCATAACCTTGGTCCTGTTATACGGCCATGAATAAAAATGTCCTGTCAAACTTCCTGAAGATCAAACTAAACAACTTTAGAACTCGTCTTTATGTTCCGAGCTCGTCTTCTGCTGGCTAATGAAATCTGACCACTTTGTCCTCACACACCTTGTCTCAAGTCAGAATCATGGAAGATGATGGCCAAACAATGAAGGAGCCTTGTGTTTGAAAGCTTTCAGGTTTGGCGTGAACAGCAAGTGTAATGACTTGGCTCTGCTGCACAACGAAAAAGAAGCTGGAGGCAAAGACTGGACTTAAAGTGCAAAAAAAGAGAAAAAACAAAGAGTCTTTGTCAAAGAAAACCTACAAAAATAAATCCAGACAAGGTCTTGTGTGGGCCAAATATCACGTGTATAACATTAATTTAAAATAGCATAATATTATTAATAATAAAGACGTAAAGACCCCGGGACTACGGCCGGTCACTGGACAAACTGACAATGAAACACAAGCAGCTGGGAGATTTAATAAAGCAGCGGAAGAACCGCACGGAACACGAACACGAGTGAATCACATCAGGACAGAGTAGACAATCACTGAGGGGGAAAATAAACAAAGGCAGGAATTAAAACATGGAAAATTACTCAAGGGAAGAAAATAAAAACTCTATTATAATAAAACAGGATGTAAAACTAGATAAGACACACAGGCACAGACGCCACTGAAAACAAATGAACCTAAAACAAACAGTAACAGTCATAAAAAAGAAAAAAAAAAAAAATCGCACAAAGTCCTACACCTCACCACCTTGTAACGAGGTGACATTTTTAGCCGACGTGTTAATAAAGTTCTTAAACACTTTCCTTTTACAAGGTTAATAACAGTTGAAAAAACTCCTAACTCCTAAATTTTTGTGAAACATAAAACTTTTATTCAGCGTAATGAGAGACCAACTGAAGGCTAACGGTCCAACGGCAGAGTCCCAGTGGTGGTGTTAGCGGCAGAAGTGGCTGCTCCTGCAGGAAGAGATAGTAAAACCTGCAGGGAAATAATCACTTCACAGCTGTGTCTGCTCAAACACTAGTTATGCAAACAGTATAAATATTCACACCACTCTGGTTCCTTCTTCTACTTGTGTTTACACACTCATGTGAGGACCGGCAGACCAGACCACATCTGCTACACTGATACTTCCTCCTCATGTTTCTGCTGCCCTGGGATTCCAGTTAAACCCTGATCGTTAATAGTTACGCCCGAATTCTTGCCGCAGGTTGTGGATGGCACGCCCTGCTCCCCGGACACCTCGTCCGTGTGTGTGCAGGGAAGATGTATCAAGGCAGGCTGCGATGGCAAGCTGGACTCTAACAAGAAGTTTGACAAGTGCGGAGTGTGCGGAGGAGACAACCACGGCTGCAAGAAAATCTCAGGATTGTTCACCAAACCTGCGTAAGTATCACGGAGAGTCATGCTCTGTTCAGCCTCAGTACATTCTCCACAGAGGTCACTGTGGGGTCACAGGACTGACTGCATAAAATGGTAGAAAGGAAACCGTTATGGTCTCGTTCCTTGACGTCCATATTTTGAGCCTCATTGGCAAACATACAGTAAAATGCAGTAGATTTACAGCTAAGTCCCAGCAGTTGGACAGAGTCGGTCCAACCTGCTCGCTCCAAAATGGTCACTTTGGGTTTAAATCAAAAAAACGACAAGTCAAGACTTTAAATATTGATGATGTCGATGCAGGTCCAACAAGTCCTGCTTTTCAAATACAACCTTCCAGTTCCACTGCTTACAGGCAGCCTCTGAACGCAGCCTTTGAACGCAGCCTTTGAACGCAGCCTTTTCCACATCAACACAGTGACAGAGTCATTATCAGTAGGATTTACATAATTTGAACAGAAAAATAAAATGTAAATATATATATACAAGAGTCCGGACCTGAAAATACCGACACTGCGTCCCACTTCAGGCCTGCAGCCACTTTTGGTCAAGATGCATCACTGTGCAACAACTAGGTCTGTCCTCATTTATTGGCACTGACTAATGGCAGCCATTTTGGGAGGAGCACCTGGTGACACCGTTTGTGTTTGTCCCGTGGGCCAACAGTCCCATTTAACAACGTAGCAGCGGTCAGACAGGACGGTCACTTTAGACCGTGAACCATCGAGTTCGTACAGGTGTGGTCTGGTCAGCTCACCCACCTACAGCTGGGTCTGACACCATCAGCCGGAAATAGACTCAGTGTAAGAATACAAGGCTTTATTAGGACAAGGATTGTAGTTGTAACATTAAATGTGTTTTTCTCTTCTTTTCCAGTCATGGCTACAACTTCGTAGTGATGCTGCCCAAGGGAGCGGCCAACGTAGACATCCGTCAGCGTGGCTATCGAGGGATGGTCAGTGACGAAAACTACCTGGCAGTGAAGAATCAGTTCGGAAACTATCTTCTAAACGGCGACTACGTGGTGTCAAACGCAGAGCGTGACCTGATAGTGAAGGGAAGCCTCCTGCGCTACAGCGGGACGTCCACGTCCGTGGAGATCCTGAGAGCCACCAGGCCCCTGCAGGAGCCCCTGACCGTGGAGCTGCTGTCTGTGGGACAGATGACTCCACCCAGGGTGCGCTACTCGTTCTATATCGCTAAAGAGAGCAAAGTGGAAAAAACTCTGCAGAAGGAGGAGCGAGGTGACAGAGGTCACAACAATATCTTGAAGGTCAGCAACAAAGTAGAAGTCAAAAATCAGCTGATAAGCAAGAAGCCGGTGAGTCACTGGGTGACAGGAAACTGGGATGTGTGCACGGTGACCTGTGGCAGCGGCCTGCAGAAAAGGCTGGTCCAGTGTCTGAGTCTGGACGGGCGTCCTGCAATGGACTGTGCCAACGTTGACAAGCCTGCAGCCATGAGGGTGTGTGGGGATCCGTGTCCCCTGTGGGACGTAGGAACCTGGTCCCACTGCTCAAAGTCCTGTGGAAGAGGTTTTAAAAGGCGACAGGTGAGATGCATGACGGAGAACGGCTTGAATCTACCCAGGGACCACTGCACAGGACAGAGGAAGCCTCAGGAGCTGGACCTCTGCAACCTTAAACCATGTTAGACCAGATCACACACACACAGCTGGTGGTCTTAAGTTTGAAGGTCAGAGAAATTTGACATGAACCTCAGCCCAACTCAGCGTTGATGCTGCATTGGGGACTCAAACGATCTTAACGTCTGCAGGGAAATCTGCTCTGAGGAAGACGGAGGTCAGGTCTTCCTGTTTACAAAATAGAGGGAATGCTGTCAACCTATAGATTGAACTGTCAAACCAATTCTGGAGGGTTTGACCTTCAGTAAGTCTACCTCTACCAGAGACAACCAAAAAGGCCTGTGTTCACTATACAGGCAGATGAGAAGCATTGGATCTTGGTAAAATACCATATACATTTGACGAGAAGCCTGAAAGAAAGCTTGTGAGACTCACTGGTATCACTGGTCACTTGAGAATTTCCTCAATTTTTCCTCAATTTACTGAATACAAAAGAGATTGAGAGAACAGTACTGTATCTTGTACTTCCATCAACACAGTATTCTAACCACTTGAAACAGTCGTTATTGATTTAATTAAAAGAAGAAAAAATTCCTGGACTTTCGTGACCAAAATATAAATACTTCTTACAAGAGACAGTGATTTCAGACCAAATACAGTTGTACTACAGTTAATGTAGGATATTTGTTTGTGCAATCATAGCCTGTATTTCGCCTCCGTGTAATATTATATGTGACAGTTGTTTATCTGTGTTCTAGAGACATCGAGCCGCACATGCATATACTGCAGAACTTCTCACTTATCTCCTTAGACTTCGGGTTGGAGCAGCCAACTTGCGAGCTTCTTGCCTTTTTTCTTGCATGGTTCACAGTAAAACTAAAAAGGATAACAGCTATATTGTACTTGTAAAAAAAAAAATTACATTTATACAGAACACACCTGAATCTGTTGTGTGAAAGTGGACGTCAGCCAACAATGAGACTGCCACAAACAGAATCAAGGCGGGAAACTGCAGGGTTTTTTACCGACTGACTCAGAAACACAACATTAAACTATCGATAAAAGACTGGAAATGCTTTGCTGGTTTTCGAAGTGCCAGTTCATTAGTCAACTTTGTGTGTAGTAAATATCTCTAAAGGATTCTGAAGAACGTATTGACTGTATACTGTGACGTCTCTAATCCTACCCAGCTGAGAACATCTGTCTTCTGCAGCCTTCCTCAGAGAGCCTGACCATGAAGCAAAGACCTGAGCTGTAACATGACCTTAACTGACCTTCAAGTAAAAAAAAAAAAAAAAAAGTACTGATGATACATTGACATATGACAAGGTTTGTCTTGGGGCTTTAATCATAACAAACATGTAGGACTCAGAACAGACTCTTCGAGACCAAACTGCACGATGAAAAAACCTCGTCGTTTGGCAGATCTCTCTGGTTTGTTTACATGCCTGTGAAAACCGGTTCCATTCTGTCCTGTCTCTAATTTAACCGTTGACTGAAAGCTGTGGTTTTGGAAGTGTGAAGTAATCTTTATTGACTGGTCAGTAATTTGAACTTAACTCCCCGTTGGTCTTGGAAAAGGAAGCATCAATTAAAAGATGCCCTCCCTGTTGGTCTTGGAAAAGGAAGCATCAATTCCTCCATGTCTTGACAACCACAAAAATAAAATTGATGAGTCAAACTTTGGTGACTGACTCAGTTTAGGATTCCTTAAAAAGTGACCAAGCAACCTGACCGACTTTTACTCCATGGACCAAATTCACACCAGTCTTTTCTCCGTCTCCCAGATTTAAGCAGGACTGAGAATTTCCAGAACACACGCAAATCTATTTTTCACATCACTGTACAACAGGGACGTGCCGAGATCTGGGTCCAGCCAGGAGACATAAACCTGATCAGTATTACCTTCGCAGATGATGACTCACAACAGGGATGAGTAATGCAACTCCATTTAGGGACATCCTCGTAGCATGGACCATCGCAGATCACTGAAACAGAGCTGGTTTCCTACCTTAGTTGCCAATGTTACGTTGCTGTTTTGACACAATCTTGGTGGAAAAAACATTTCCTTAAACTTGTGTAGGTGTGGCGGTGTTGTTGAACACTTAAATCCCAAAAACAAAAGCTGATCCACTTGACCTGAAAAGCACGAATCCCGGTCAGCGGTGCACATGTCAGACCGACTCCATTCTTTGGCAGGGCAAAGCAGTGTTGGCAGCTAGCAGCGAAATTTGGCGGCGGCTGCCAAAATGTATTGGCTCATTAGTTGTCCATTGTATCTAATTGCCAAGGTCATGCATCATAACAGTGTTTGTTGTGGACTCTCGCTGCATTTAGTCCAAACCATAGAGAGGAGAGATTAATTTGATTCGTGATGCATCGACTGTTCGGTGAAATGCAGAGCAAAACCTCCGCGACCACATCAGACCACGCATGCTGAATTAATAGGCAATCAAACATATTGCTGTATTTTTCATTTTGTAATTACAGGATGGTAATAAGAAGGAAATGTTTTCTCGGTCGTCCGTTTCAGATGCCTGCATGTTTGAACACAGCTGGAAATAAGTGGAATAAGTTGAACTTTTTCAGTTGCTGTTTTTGCTTTAAGTTGACCATCTTTGTGATGGTTTTGTACATTTTTTTCCACTTCCTGTACAGATTATTTTTATCGACTGTCCTTTTTTTTGTATTGTATACTATGTATACATCTATCTAGTATCAGTATAAAAATAAAATATGTTAGTACATTAGGGTGGAATATGAGTTTTTATTTGTTTGTTTTTGATTTGTTCCTCTGTAAATTTGTTGTGAAAATTTAACTGCCCCATAAGTTTCATAAAAACCCAATCAAGACCCTTTCCCAGGAAATCTTATTCAATAATTCTAATTTAGCTGGAAACCAGAACCTTCTATCACATCAGTTCTACCAGAAAAAAGTTTATAGTTGTTCCTTATATGAGATGAGACGATTCTCCAACCTAAAATAAGCGTCCCCTTACTGCTCCACTTTGGTATTTGGTTGATTAAATGCTATTGTTCCAGCTGTACTTTAATGCCACACCCAGCTGCACCAGTGTCTGCTCAGGGAGACTGACACATTATTGGATACATTCCCTCCAGGATGCGGACGCCCTCACTCCAAAGACTTCATCCGTGTGGAAAACAGCTAAGGAACATCTGGTCTGGGGAAACACACACAGCCTATCAGACGGTTCCTTCTTCGCCAGTCATTAGAACAACACTTAAAAAAAAAAAACATTCTTAAGGGGGTCCTTAAAGAGCGACTGTACGACTACAACGTGACCAATGTTTTGAACGTACCAACCCTTAGAAATGCTGGATTTCTACCGTCAGTGCGGAAAGATCACTCACTAGCACCAATCCCTCCACAGCTGTGAGGAGATTGGTGGTGGTAAGTGACGTCAGAGCATCTGGGTTGGAACCAGACCAGTCATGGTCATTACTATTGGAATTTTTTTTTTTGGGTAACAGGAAAAGATAATTGGACTTTGGTGTCTAAAAACCTGTTTTCGAACGTTATGACCGAGGGAAAAAAATGCAAAGAAATTTCCTGAAGGGAACTCCCTAGGAATTAATAAAGTTCTGTCTGTCTATCAAAGAGTGGTTGTTGCTGTTTTGTAGCTGCTGGAAACAGATCAGCTCTAATGCAATGGTTACAAACAAATTGCTGATGCTCTGTTTTTCGGCCTGGCTTATTTAACCTAATGGGGTAATACCAAATTTGACATGCTTTGGGATGATATGGTTCACATCAGCTTCAATTTGTAAAGGCTCTGCTCACAAAAGTAATTCAAGACTTTTTACTGATGATGATACTTGAGTAACTAGTTCTACTTTTAAGATTTAAAGTGAGTACACATGGCGTTTTTTCCCCTATTTGGTTTATAGTCCAAGCCTGAAACACAATTTTAGAATAAAAAGGGCCATTTCTCTCGGAAAGTTTGGTTAAAGGGAAACTAGAGTCAAACCAGAAGATGCTTTTCCACACCACCATTTTTGTTGACCCCATTCTGCTGTGTATAAAAACTGCTGTCTGTGAAACTCCATCATTTTGGTGACTCACTGACCCCAAAGTGATTCAGATTTGCTGACTGTACAGCTGATGATTTACACGTGTGGGAATTTTCTCAGTTTTCAGTGGTTGTTTTTAAGACGTGGTCTCAGCAAATAGGGCTTTGAAAACAGGCCCCATGTAGCATAAACAAAATTACCGTCATTAGAGCTGTGATGAAAGTTGGGCGATTACTGTTTTTAGTGGCCGGCTTAGAGGACAGGCCCTGGCACTAATCTCCCCCAAAAAGACCAAAACCACAGCGAAGTAATTCCATTAATAAGTTTGATGTTGCTGCCAAGGCCTGGGTACTAGAGAAGACTCTCTCTCTCTCTGTCTCTCTCTCTCTAATAAGGAAGCCCCCATCTCTCAAATCCACCATCTCTTTCTAAATATTTATCACTCAAACTTTATGGAAGGATAAAGTGTTCTGCCCTGTTAACGTTCTTCCAAAATTAATGGTCGTATGCTACGAATCCCATTAGATTTCACCTGAAAAGCCTCGGACGATGAGTCTGTTATCCAGATGTGAAGGTTTAAGGACAGTTTGTTATAAACACCATTCCTTTAGAAACTAAGAGCCGACTTTTAAAGCTGTATTAACCTGAGACGCTCTTAAACACAAAATAAAAATCCAATCTCTACCAAATGGATTAATTTAGTCCTGGATTAAGTGTGTACGCTGCACTCGTCAAGTTTGTTGCGAAACCTTCCCCGTTCTTCTTTTTGTCCACCGTTCTTCTTCTTTGTCTTCCTTCTTTGCAGCTGTCCAAATGTCTTTCCTGAACTCTCCGTCTCTCATCACCACATCCCAATATTATGTCAACCATGTGCCTTGAACATTTTCAAACAAATTGTTAAACCCACAATTACCAATGCAAACAAAAAGGGGCTTAGAGTAGATCCCTTATGTAGCCCCACCCTTAGCCTCTACCCATCTGCCAATCTGACCGCACACCTCAGCAATGTCTCCCTGTCGTCATCCACCAGATTCCCTCGGGCAGAACCACAGATGCACTGTGTTGCTTTTCTAACATCCACAAAGGAATTGTACTTCTGATGGTATCAGTACTCGCCAATCAGTACTGTTACATCTGAAACTGATACTTTAAAGTAGTCTGTAACAGGACATTGACAGAAAAAAACAATGACACGACGTGAGCAGAGGATCTCCAGTCAGTCCGTCAAAAGGCAGGGGAAAAAAACAACAAACAATGACACGACATGAGCAGAGGATCTCCAGTCAGTCCGTCCTGGAGGATGAAACTGTCCCCAAGCCAGGAGTGCATTAGCAAAAGTACTTACAAAGTACTTACTTATGGTTATATCATTGTTATACATGTGTGTCGGTGCAATTTCTCCTTTGTCGACTTCAACTTTACTCTAAAAATTAGTCATTAATGCCCTAGGTCATGTGTTGGCCACATCTGGCCCCCGCCCCCCATGCCTGTCCGAGGCTGTACTTTTAAAGTTTTTTTATCACCCTGAAAAAAACCACACAAACTGCTTTACACAATAGTTCTTATTCTGGCAGGGAAATGTTTCCTGTTTGATCGATTTGTAAACATTTGAATGTGTTTTTGGGGTTAGTTCTCTCTCTCTCTCTCTCTCTCTCTGGTTTCTGGTTCCTAATAACTTCAGAGTGCAAGTTGAGCAACAAGCCTGCTTGCTTATCTTCATTCTTGAAATGTTGAGAAAGTGAAGCTTTCTTAATAAACTCGATGACCCAGTTTTTATTTGTACTGGAAAGAAGTGAAGTCTGTTTCTGGTTCTCTGTGGTTTATTCGACCTCATGACCTTTTTCTTTGGACATTACACAAGAGCAGGTTGATTGCACTTGTTTTGGCAGCATTAAAGGTTCATCTTGATGTGGGTCAAGATCTGCA